CGTCCTCACTCCACGCTTAAACCGCTCCGGTCATGTCACCTGTTCGAGACCTGATCCAAGAGGTAAATCGAATACCTACATTTTACGATGAATAAAAAAATATTTAAAATCAAAATTTGTTAAGATTTTAAAGCAGTTGATTTTATGCATCTAAATTTATTACATACCTACTCATTTATTGCACCTGTCAAATTGTGTCATACAACTTTGGCACAAACAAAAAATAACACTGTAGTACGATATGAAAAATAAAAATAATAAGCGGTAAGGCCAAAAAGTATGTGAAAAGAAAGTGAAACACAGATTGTTTACACATAATCAAATGAGAAATTTCAGGCCAAATAATGATCAACATGCAAATAAAACTGGCAATCAAAACGATATTTGGCTTTGTCACAAGAATTTACTTACATTGTCATAGATTAAAAGATAAAAATATACCAGCTCTTCTTCTTTATAGCGAGATTTAAGCATTTTAACCTATTTTGTTATGTCTCTTTCATTCATCTTTGTTGTAGAATTTTTTCAGTTAAATATTTTGTCGTAAATCTATGTGTAATTATTGATCCAATAAGTCCACAGTACTTTACACATACTGTTACAAATGTTGTAAAAATCCTAAGATAGGTAGAGAGAAAAAAGTTGTTAAAAATTCCGATCTTACTTCTTCTTTCCTCTAATAATACAATTCAGGATGGGTTTTCGCTGACTTCACAATATATCGTCATCAATATTTATTGCTGATATAACGCTGCTTATAACGTTTTAAAAAGTCAACTAATTCCGGAATCCTAATTAGGTATATGATATATATTTTTTAAAACGTTAGGCCTACACTGACTAATCTATACTGATCATAGTTTGATTGCCAGTTCGAAACATGAAAATGAAAAATAATAAAAAGAGTTAGAATGAGAAAACACTTACGTGGCAAAACAACACAACAAAAATGCAAGAAGCTATAGAAATCATATTTTTTTCTGTCCAATCCTCTATTGCCTCAAGACAGCCCTGTTCGTTTATTATTTTGGATACATCAAAACTCTGTAATAGAGCAATTAAAGAACAAAAAGCTTACAACAAACATACAGCGCAAAAGTGCGGGTTCTATGCTGTCTTGCCAAAGTAGTCTTATTGTTGAAATAACATTTTTTGAGCAAAATGACTTACGTATTACGATTGGATTTTACCAACACTTCATTAATATTTGGTGAATTGGTTAAACATAAATGAGAATGACGAAAAAGAGACAAGAATTCGGTTTAAAGGGTTGTCATCAGAAATTTCTCCAGTCTTGGCTTGATTATAAGTTTTTGAATGCATGTTGTCTTAGAATCAACAAGTTTTCTGATATATGAGGGTCTCGAAACTATAAAACTGATAGATTGTGTTCTCTTCTAAGTTGTAAGGTACCCAAGGTTGCATCTTGTATTAAGATGGTCACCACCGTTTTTAAATAGCTTGAAGAGTATCCAAACTAGGTGCTGTATTATTTTAAATGATAAAATGGTTTTTCTAACTTTTTCTACGGTAATTTGAAAGTAGTTTTCATTACTAATACAACCGAATCGATTTATAAATAATAAAATCGACTGTGAAGTATTGAAACCTCGTTCATCTTTCGTCATATTTAAAAAAATGTGGAAGGGGGAGGGGGTGTTGCAACTCACAACATAGATTCAAAAAAATTGTTACCTCTCGATATAAAAATCAATTGGATTTGTATCAAAATTAAGGTTTAGGGGGTAAAAATTTTCGTTATGTCATCGTATATAGTGTTAAAAATTATATTTTAATTATTTCTATATATACCCTTCTTCAAAATATTGACAAGTTTGGGAAAACAGCATGATCCCTTATGAATGCAGATTTGGAAAATAAGAACAGTATATGTAATAGTGCATAAACATCGAGTACACAGCCAGTTTCGATGAAACTTGTATAAGAAGTACCTGTAGCACCATCGTTCCGACTTTAACAGCAGCTACAGGAACTAAATTACTTTCAATCCACTCCTCGCCCGCCCTCAGGCATCCCCTCTCGAATATGTGTCTTTCTCCTGGCTGCGTATAACACCAAATTCTTATTGAAACTTTTTTTTTTATTTAATAACAACAGACCAAAACTTTACCGTCTCCTATCAATGTATTACGTGTAGATTTTATGCCATAAAAAGTAAATATTTCTATACTTAAAGCACGAAATAATTGTCAGTGTCTTCATGACTAGTTTGTAGAAGGTTATTGTGTCTTACATTAAAGACGGGAGGGTTCCTAATAAAATAAATTTTTCTTACATTACATACCGCAAATTTTTAGTAGATAGTAGAGAGAGAACCCACTTCCAAAAAAACCTAATACATCATCATGTAAAGACTAATTAGTCTCATGAGTCAGTCTCTCAAGCTACTTCTTAGGATAATTCTTAATAGAATCAGGCAGAAATGTAAAGACACAATGGGAAATAAACAATTCGGTTTCAGAGAAGAATTGGGAACAAGGGAAGCTTTGTTCTCAATGCTAACACTACCACTATCATGGGAAGTACAGAAACCAATTTAAGTCTGTTTTATAGATTTTGGGAAGGCGTTTGAAAGTGTTCAATATGGTAGGTTATTTGAAGATCTAGAAATGATTGGAATAGATGATAAAAATCTGAGACTTTTAAAACATCAATTTCTATGGTTATGTCGTAGAATGCTCAGAATATCATGGGTTCAACACATTTCAAACAGAGAAGTCTTGAACAGAGTAAGTCAAGGTGAAAGTGACTTAATAAAGATGATAAAAAAGAGAAAACTCGAATATCTAAATAAAAAATTGTAAAATTGAGCAAGTTAATTGTAAAATTCCATTGGATGTTAGAAATAACTTTATTACGAATATATCGCTTCAGCTTCAGGATTCCCAGCCCTGTTGCTTTCTTTTCCAAATAGCCTAACTCTAGCGAGCTAAACTATTCTACTGTGAAGCTATCGATGAATCTTAAAAAAAAAGTGGCGCCATTTTCATATAGGAAAGCCTTTCAGAGTCATCACTGTTCAAAAGTCTGTAATATTTATATTCAACACCAAGCATTATAGCAAGATCAAAGAAAAAAATGAAAAAATACAAAAATACAAAGTCAAGACTAGACACAAGACTTTGTATCGACTTTACCAACTTTCGAATACCAATAACCGTTATATCCATCCGACAATAGATGATTATTTCAGATTCCCATTAGCTTTTTCTGAAAATTTTAAGAAACGTAGTCATGATCTTTGGAATGCCGGCATATATCCATTCGAATAGAGAGACTTAATTTCTTGACTCAAAAAGTTTCTCAAGTCTCTCAGGTCAAATTTTCTCAAGTCCAGAAGAATCACGAAGTAGAACTATTGCTTATAATCCTCAAGGAAATGGTAAAGTAGAGAAGTTGAATTTTACTGTATGGTAAGCTATTCAACTAGCTTGTAAATAAACTCTAAAAAAAGATAATCAACTTCTTCATAACAATCCAACATTTTTTTATTGTAATTAGAAAAAAATATATATTGGAAGTGAATTGGAAAAAATTATTATTCAAACATAAACAAACAAAGTTAGGTTAGAATCGACGTGTGAGGAACCAAAAAAGAATATGTATATGGTGACTCTTCTAGTAACTTTCTTGGGTGTGAATCTGTCTTTTTCGTTTACTCCTCCTGGTTAAACAACAAACCATTATAGGTGGGAAATACCTTATTTATCTTTAAGATAACTTTAGTCAGCTCCAAAAATTTGTTTTTGAATTTATGTCACTGACAAATATTTCGTACGTTGAGTTAAATATTGACATATATGAACAAAAGCTAAGTAATATATAACCCAACAACAGTATTGTCTCTATATCTGTAAACTCCTTAAAAATCAATGAATTCCAACACGACTTAGAAAAAAACCTATCTTTAGATCAACTAGATTGTGATTCTGAAAACACATGGATCTATCTCAAAGACAAAATAATTGAGACTGTATTAAGATTATACGACATCGCACCGGTTTCCACTAATCATAAGCCATGAATGACGACACTTGGACTGTGAATCAATACAGAAAATAACATAATACTATATTTGGAACGAACGATGAATACATAATACAAGCGAATATCTCCCAAATATACAGATAACTAGTAGAACATGGTGGTCGGAATGAACCGAGAGATCGATTTCAAAAAGAAAAACTCCTTACCAGAGATTTTAAATCTCAAACGTGGTCTGTGATGCAGAAGGAAGGTAATCTAAAGACCAATACTGACGAAATATTGGAAACGTGGCAAAACTATCGCAGCGATTTATATAGAAATATCGAAATTCCAGCAGAAAATCTATGGCCGTCCGACTACCCTAGAGAACTATCTGGCTACCTGAAGTAAAAGATTCAGTACAATTTTAGCTGCATTACCAAATACCATAGAAATAAGCGCCGTTTATAAAAAATATAGGTCATGAACCTGATACAACTCATAATAAATTCGAAAGAATTTCAAGTACCTATGATGATATGTTGACCAGGTACCTTTGTTGAATATAAGAAGGCAGTCAATTGGATTGGATAAATCTTTGTTAGTAGAGATGGGTGGATCGATACACCTGGTGACACTTGTACCAGCCCAACATGGTAACAGTACGACTCACGCCAATTCAGAGCAGAGGTAGGATTTTACACAATATTTATTGTGAACATATCAAGAGCATAATTTAAGAAGGATGGGTAGATGGAGTAATAATGGCTGGTAAAAATCTCCAATTTAAGATTTGCTGATAACACTACTCTAACACCAACAAATGAAAAAGAAATGCTAGATCTCCTGCGAAAAGTTCAGTTCCTACAGTTCAGTGATACAGTTCAATATATGTTGTTTGATTATAAAAGACTAGCTAATGGTTAACGGGACTCTATGATTAAAATTTAAAATAGAAAAAGTATACTTATATATCTACCCCACAAAAAATTTTATTTTAAATAGTCCACAATTTAAGCAATAACATGTTTGTGTATATAAATAATTATAAAGTCACAGAAAAATATCGCACGTAGCAATAAATAAATACTTACAAATCCAGGTTTTCGAACATCATATCCGCACTGTTTATTTTTAATAATCTCCTACAACAAAAAAACAAACAGTTACCTCATTAATATATATTCCTATAACTTAGTCCTCAAGATTCGCAAAGATCTACATTTATTCGTTGTTCAATCACAAATTAACCCCTTAATTTGTAATCTCACATTTAACTTCTTAATCTTTTATAGTTTCACCGTGTATAAGTTTGTATTATATATATTGCAAAACCATATCGTATGATAATTTAATAATTAGTTCATTGACCTACAACTAAATAAATTGCCGAATAATAATATTTTCTAATTGAACTTCCTAAGTGTCGCAATTAAGGCGTAGATTAAATTGTATTATAAGCAAAAGTTAGGTGGTGTGATATGAACGAAGCAATGACCTAAGGTGCTTATGTATCTATTATTTGCGAGATTATAAATTGGGGGATTTGAGTTCAAATGAACACGCAAATGCCCCCACAAAGGGGCATTTACGAACCGAAACGAGCTTCACTACTAAGTTCGATATTTTCCATCGTATTCCTAAGAAACCAAGCGCAGCCAAGATGTGAAAACTTTGGACTCCAAAGATTTAACAAATATTCAGTATCTCTACGAAAATCAAATAGCCTCCAACATGGACGTATAAACATAGATGGACACAGCAATAAGATACCTTTAACACACAATGTTTTGAAGCTTCGATAGAATGTGATGTTTCCGCAATGAGCATAAGCGTGCTTGAATTTTTACTCGCGGGTAATTATTCAGATTTTAAAAATTGGAAGTAGTGATAATGTATAAAAACACGTTCAAAGAATTTAAAAAACGAGAGTTTAACTATTAACAAATCACGTCTTTATAGAAAAATTAAAATACAATTTTATTTGCTTTAAAATTAATACAATAAAATATAGTTGAATTCGAGTTAATTTTTAATAGGTATCAAAATAATGCTACAATAAAAAATCTTTATGTTTTCTCCTAAATTTGATACCAAAATAGTTCGATCGTCAATATTATTTGGAAACCTACATAGAAAAATAAATGAGTTTTATTCATTTCACTAATTTATTTGCATCCATGAGAAATATTAAATTAAAAAGGTACTAAATAGATCTTTTCTAATCAGATGATGTCTACTTACAATTTAAAAATGTCTACTAATTTCATGAACTTATATCTTATTCAATACATTAATGAACATGAAATAACCCAATGGTACGCCTATTAAAATGTAAACAAACACGCTTCCTCATTTCCTCATCTTAAATAATGTAAATTGTATGTACAGTTGCGGTCACGGAATAGTTTACACCTTACTTTTTATATTGTAATACTGTAAAATTGCAGTGTCGTACAGATTTGATAAATGTCAAAGTCAAAAAATTTCAAAACGTCAATGCTTTCGCGAGTGTTCAACAATAAAATAAAAGTATATTAAACTCTTCCAAAATGGTTAGAATACATTTGAATTATGCGCAAAAAGCAAGAGCAATTGCCAAACTCGAAGAAGGTTGGTCACTAAGGCAAGTTGCTGATGATTTGAACGTGAGTCATATGTGCATATGGAAGATTAAACAAAGATGGGATAATTTTCACTCTATAGCACGGTTGGGCGGTTCAGGAGGGCAGAAGATTTCCACAGATCAACAGGATGAGATGTTAGTAGATTATTTGAGAGAATCTCCTTTTGCCACAGCTCAAAAGGCAAGAGAAGAGGCAGCGTTTCCAGGCAGTATTCGCACTGCACGTCGAAGAATTAAAGCAAGTGGACTGCTAAATTGTGTAGCTGCACGGAAACCTTTTTTGACTGAGGATCACAAGAGGAGACGAGTTGAATTTTGTAATGAATTTATAAACCGCGATGAGAATTTTTGGTCTAGGGTTGTATTTTCCGATGAAAAAGTATTTCAGTCGTATAATAATGGTCGAATAAGAGTTTATAGGCCGAGAAATCATAGGTATGATGAACAGTATACGCATCATTTAAGAAATAGTGGAGGATTCTCTGTCAACGTATGGGGATGGATAAGTGCCGAAGGCCCGGGCGTTTGTTATCATGTAGAGGAGAAGTTAACAGGATTATATTACAAACATATTATTGAGCACACAATGTTGCATCGGTGATCCAGAGATTCCCCAACAACGACTTTATCTTCCAACATGACAATTGCCCGGTGCATACGAGTAGAATTGTTCGAGAATGGCTAGAAGAAACTGATGTTAATGTTCTTCCGTGGCCTTCCCGTAGTGCAGACTTTAACCCCGTCGAAAATGTGTGGGCAGAGTTAACAAAGAAACTAAATGAAAGAAACCTTAGACCACGGAATAGAATTGAATTATGGGAAGCAATTGAGCAGGCATGGGAAGAGCTTGTTAACTATAACATGAGGGGATTGGTGCTATCTATGAACAGAAGACTGCAAAATTGTATTTACAAGAATGGGGCTTCCACCAAATATTAATTATTATTTATCATTGTTTATCGTTATTTAATATAAAATAGATTTAAAATAAAATGCATATTAAAAAAAAAGACTTCTTTATTTTCGTTATTAAGATCATAATCCATTTTATTCAAAAAACTGTTTTCTATATTTTTCATTTTGTAAAATATTTTGATATTTTAATTTTAATCTACCTATTCTAGCTAGTACACCACTGGCAACGTCACTTTGACGTAAAAGGTGCGTTTAAACGAAGTAAAAATTTAAAAAATGGGCTCCTAGATACGTGAACCTGTAAACTATTCCGTGACCGCAACTGTACTTACAAGTGAAATGGTAGATCGGGATGTAAATATTTCGATTATTTTATTTAACTTTTCACAAATATCACTCAAAATACAGCCAAAATATCGAAAAACAACTTTTACTAAAAAGTAAACAAACATGGAACAGCATTTGAAGTTTGACGTAGATCCATAAGACAGAGAAATGTAAACAATCGTTGCCATTTATAAATAGTTTTCAGTTCTTCTACATACAAAATAATTGATTGATATCTATTATACGCTATTATTAAATGATAATGCACACTATGTGCATACTTTATATTTTGATTACAATTAAATATATTAATCTAACCAATAAATTATTATTTTGGTTTGATAGCACCTGTAGAGTATAAAATACGGAATAATATTTTCAGCGACCCGCGAATAAGAAATTTTAAAACAAAACGTGACAACAGTTGAAGGTGCTGAGAATGTGACCTATTCAAATAATTTTGACTTCACAATTTTATGTAAATAACTGAGTCCATCTGTGTTTATACGTCCATGGCCTCCAAATAAATGTAAAGTCTTTCAAGGTTGTACACTGAGCCTCATGCCTTTTTACTATAAAACTGAGATGGTATTCCTGATAAAGTATTCCAAAACGTACTAGAAGCCACACAAGATGATATCAAAGTTGGAATATTGATAAATAACACAGGCCGACAAGATTTTTGGTGTTTTAAGTTTGACATGTGTCCTTAGCAAATATCTTATTGATATTTCGTAAATTGCATTAAAATTATTTCTTTAAAATACTTGATAGATCTATAGAAAATATTTCAATACATTATGTTAATTTCATTGGAATGGCAACACTGTCATTATAGTCTAAGGTAGTCTATAATGAATTCTTTTTTTTTAACAACTCAATTTTGCAGCGTAATTTTGTATTAAATAAAGTTTCGCTAAATATTTTCTCAGTATTTTTGTCAGTTTATATGAAAAATGTCATACACACTTTTCTTCAAAACCTAACATATTGGAAAAAAAACTAAATACAGATTCGTGATCTGCACATCCCATTTACTATAGGTCACCTATTAAACTTTTTCACTTTTTCAAGAAAAAAAAAACGTAGGCCTGTGTGATTTATTCAGCTTAAAAACCAAAACAAGAAGACGAAGATATTAGAGGTAAATCAAAATCCTGAGATCCTGAGATAATCATCAACTAGCCTCTAACGTCCACTGCTGAACATAGGCCTCTCGCATGCTTTTCCACTTAGTCCGATTTTGCGCCATCTGAATCCAATTTGTAGTCACTCTTTTTATATCATCTGTCCATCTCGTTGGGGGTCGACCTCTATTTCTGTAAGCTTGTATTCGGGGTCTCCATTCCAAAATTCTTTTTGTCCACCGGTCATCAACTGATCTTGCTACATGACGTGCCCAGTTCCACTTTAGTGTTGTTATTCTTTCAATAACGTCTGCTACTCCTGATCTTTTGCGTATAGTAGCATTGGGTATTCTATCACGTAGAGAAATCCCTAACATAATTCTCTCCATTGCTCTTTCCGCAACTTGTAGTTTACTCACTGTTGTTCTTGTGAGCGTTAGGGTTTCTGCGCCGTAGGTCATCACTGGCAAAATACATTGATTAAATACTTTTCTTTTCAGACACATTGGAATCTTAGACCTAAAAATATCCTTCATCCTTCCAAATGCAGCCCAAGCGAGGTTTATTCTTCTTTTCAGCTCGATTATTTGGTTGTCTCGACTTATTCTGATCTCATGGCCTAAGTATTTATAGGAGTCAACTGGCTCAATATCTTTGTCTTCTACTGAGATGTTTTTGTTGTGGACTAAATTTGTCATAAATTGTGTTTTTGAAAAATTTATTTTAAGACCAACTCTTTTTGTGGCAGTATGGAGTTCTTGGGGCATTATCTGTGCCTGATCAAAGCTGTCTGCAATAAGAACGATATCATCTGCAAATTTAAGGTTATTTAAATGCCCTGAGATAATGCCCTGATTTTAAATTTGTTCACTACATCTACAAAACCAGTGTTAGACTAGTCCTGACACAGCTTTGAATGCAGAAAACCGCTAAATTTTGTTGTTCCAAATCAAAGACACAAAACTTTTTCGATAGAAAAATGCGAATGATACGATTTTGATATGATACTGATCCTGTCAAGAGCTAATAATATACTTAAAGTAAATAATGTTTAAACAACTTACATTTGGTTTCCTTTTGCAACATGAGAATGGCACTCCACAAGCTTCCCTGCTACCAACATCTTTTGATGAACAATTGAAGTAATTGTTGCGATCCCAGTCTTTGGGTCCTTCAATTCCACAACACTGAAGCTATAAAATTATTGCCAGTTAGTAAAATTTACATTATTAAAACATTTAAAGATTTAAAAAAAGAATTGAAATTATTTTTTTATTTCTCTTTTATTTTGTTTATCATGCACACCAGTATTGATACCTATATAAATATATTCAGACTTTTCAGCTTCTTATTCTTAATGTATACCTATCTATTCCATGACCTTTTTATGGAACTTTTTTTGTCATCATAACCCAAGTGACACAAGACATAGAGGAGAACTAATAAACAAGTGAATGTAATGTTTTCTCATGATATTTGCAACTGCGCCATTGCCCGTACCAAGGTCATATGAAAAAGGAGGAGAGTGAATAGGTCTCGGTTATAAAAGAAATGTCAAGTAACTACAATCATTAAATGACAAGAAACGCCCAAGATACTGTCGAAAGAAAACTACAACATGGACTTGTAGATGTAAATGTAGATGGCATTGTAATATCAACCCTTAAATATCAGAATTACAGATAAAATAATATTATAATTCATACCCGTGTAACATTTAACATTCTGTTTATATAAATATATTTAGTAATTTGAATCGAGGACATTCATAAATAACATACTCTAATTAGAACTGGTAGTCAGCACTATTGCCGATCACCACATGCTTGGCGTAGGTCATGAACAAACTTGACATACTAATAAGTAAACATTTGCTGATATAGCAAGGACTACTATAAAAGCCCCAACAATCATTCTCTCAGGGATCTTAATTAATATACCGACACTATGGCCAGTAAGGCATCATCTATCGTCATCGTCAATTAAGTACTGATATATTTAAGATTAATTAATAGTGAAAGATTGTACAAGCAGTGATTAATAAATGGGCAATTAAGTTACAACAAGTTATTTACCACCCCACAACATTATTTATTACAGCATCACCCTTCAGAATGTACAGTTACATATATCTGGGCAGCAATATAATTAGACCACTCCAAAGAAATTGGAAGGAGCATCGAAATACCGATACGAAATCAAATCAAGTATATATCTACTGTGACTTACCCAGTCTTCCTGAATCCAGTCAATAAGGTTCTGTTGATCAGGATCTTCTCTATAGTGAATTATAAACGTTTGAAATCCAATTGTTGCTTGAGATTTGATCTAAAAATAACGAATATGTGTTATATAAAATATTTTAATTATTAACATTTTACAGCTACGTCAAATTAAATCACGTGCAGTATATCCAAGGAAAATATTTAATACCAGATGTGGTTATTAAATAATGATAACGACATCGTACAACATTTAATATCAACTACTATTTTTTATGAGAATAATAGCAATTTTGTTTATTATTAACAATGGGAGGGTAGATGGGAACGAAGTACATCAGGTCTTTAGCTATATCAATTGAGGGCTTGAAATTAGAATAGGAAAAGACAATCAAACTTGTGAGATCCAGCATCGCATAGGCTTGGGATGGGCAGCATTTGGATGCGAGATATTCTAAAAGAAACGCTACCGATTTGCTTGAAGAAAAAGGTTTACAACCAATGCATACTGCCAGTAATAACATATGGTTCCGAAACAATAACTTTAACCAAACATTCTGCAAATAAATTGAGAGTAACCCAAAGAAAAATGGAAAGAGCAATGTTGGGAATAACTAGAAGAGATATGGTACCAAATAGGATAGTGAGAGAGAGAAGACTAAAGTGACAGATGTCATAGAAAAAATTGCACAAGCCAAATGGAGATGGGCTGGACATATAGCACGTTTAAATGATAATAGGTGGACCAAAAGACTCAGAATGGAGACCTAGAGAAGACAAAAGACACCGAGGCAGACCACCAAAAAGATGGATGGACGACTTGAGAAAAACAGTCGGAAATTGGATACAGAAGACGCAAGATAGAGAACAGTGGAAGAACATGGAGGAGAGTTATATCCAACTGTGGATGCAAGAGGTTGAGGAATGATGATGATGATTAACAATGGGAATGCACGTATTCTACAAAATTAATCAGCATTTTTTCTTCAACTTAAAGTTCCTCAAAGAAAGTTTGTAATGTACCGAACTTCGATGGTCGAAGACGTGGACAATGCCGAGCAAAAGCTTTGAGGAGAGTTCGAGATGTCGTTCTTGTAAGAGTTATGAATTTAAAGGGAACTGCTATTGAGTTAAGTAAAAGAACTTTGATCGGACAGTGTGTTCCCGTGGCTTCGATTTGTTCTATGAATACTAATGAGAAAGCATCTAAATCTAAGTGTTAAGATGGTTATTAAAACGTGCCAAGATCTTGATGATAAACAAACTAAAAAAGTGAAGTCTATGCTGATAGAATTTCAAAATGTTTGTGAAGCATAGTAACGCATCAAATTAATACCGAAAACGCTCAACCAATCAGACAACAACCTAGACGACTTTCATTTGCGAAAAAAAATGAAGCCAAAGATATCATCTCAAAGATATAAACAAATAAGGGGCAATTGAACCATCAAACGATACTCTCTCTTTGGACACTCTCTCTGGTTTTCGTTGGTTCTCCACACTTGATATGAAAAGTGGATATTGACATATAGACATGGAGCCAGCTGATCGGGAAAAAACCGCATTCTCGGTAGGATCAGGGCTTTGGCAGTTCACAGTGATGCCCTTTGGTTTATGTAATGCCCCTGCCACATTTGAAAGATTAATAGGGGCAGTTTTAAGGGGTCTAACATGGAAAAAGTGCCTGATTTATTTGGATGGCGTAATTGTCGTTGGAATATCCTTCGATGAACATGCCAATAATCTAAAACAGAAGTCTTTCAAAGGTTGCGGGTAGCGAATTTAAAGTTAAGTCCGGAGAAATGTCACATGTTTCGACGACAAGTGAAGTATTTGGGACATATTGTAGAAAGTAATGATGTAACAGCTGATCCTGAAAAACTTGCAGCAATTAAAGATTGGCCAGTACCAAGAGATGAACACGAAATTAGAAGTTGCCTTGGTCTATGTACATTTTACGGACGTTTTGTCATTTGCCAATATCTCCAAGCCATTAACAAAGTTGACAGAAGAAGGCAAAGAATATACATGGAGCAAAGAGTGTCAAAGAGCTTTCGAACAATAACAAATGGCTCTGAACAGTGCACTGATTTTCAGCTACCCTAGACAGGCAGGAAAATTTGTGTTGGACATCGATGTCAGCAGCAACGTGCAATAGGAGCTGTTCTCTCCCAAACCCAAGATGGACAGAAAAAAGTCATCGCTTACATTGGCAAAGTCTTTTCGAAACCAAAAAGAAGCTATTGCGTTATCGGAAGAGAATTGTTAAGTGTAGTGAAGGCTTGCTAGCATTTCCATAAATATTTGTATGGCAGAAAGTTTCTTCTTCGCACGGATCACGCCGCTCTAAAATGCCTCCTACAATTCCGTAATATTATTATAAGCTCGAACACAGGGCCGTACAGTGCAAATTGTAATCACTGTCTTAAATTAGAAGAACGACTTTGACCCGTGAGACGAACCATCGTCATTAATGGTCGATGGTAGCCCCAACAGCTACAGGACGCTCAAGCAGATGATCCATGTATAAAAAGAGTATTGGATTAGAAATGAAAAATACCAGTTCCTCCCAACTTATAATCGAGGGTAAAATTGAAGGCAAGAGAGGAATGGGACGCAAGAAAATGTCCTGGCTCCGAAACATAAGCAATGGACAGGATTAACGGCATACAATCTCTGATACATATTGCAAGAAATAGAGAGTTAATGGAAAATGTGATGGCTAACATCCATTAGTGGACTTGCATCTGAAGAAGAAGAAGATTAGATGTGTAGAAGTGAGGTGTGGGAGCAGGTGCTGGTGTGGAAACGTAAAATTCTTCGAATGATATATGGCCCTTGCAGAGACAGCGTGACAAACGAATGGAGGGACAGATACAATAACGAGCTAGAGTCTCTATTCGGAAAAGAAAATCTAGTCAGATATATAAAGGCCAATAGACTCAGATGGGCAGGCCATGTGATACGCAGTAACGACCAGCGCCTTATAAACAATGTGTTCTGGGAAAGGCCAGATGGAAGAAGGTCTGTAGGGCGGCCTAGAAAAAGGTGAAAATATGTAAATATTTGAACATACTGTTTAATAATTGTATGTGATAATTACTGTTATTATTACTGTATTATTATTTTACAAGAAGTTGTGTTGATTAGTATTATCACTACCTAGGTATATCACAGATATTGATAACACCGATATTTTTTATTTAAACTTTATAGAAAATGGAAATTTTTGGTAAAACAAAATATTTAATAATACCCACATGATTTGAGGAAATGCGTCTGTTGACCAAATGTTTGCAAAATAATAACTTTTATTTAATTTGAAATTAGATATCTACGCTTCTGCTCAGTAGAATATCACAACGCTCACTATAACATTCTTGAAAATTTGCTAGTCCCTTACTCACTCTTGTTCCCGTAAATTTTCCGTACCTACACAACCACAAATATTCTTGAAACCACTTTATAATTTTTTCACCAAAGCCATACCTTTCCATCTTTCTCAATAGCAGTTGTCTGTTTATGGTTTCAAATGCATGTTTAAAGTCTAAGAAAACCACACCAATCATTTTCCCGCACTCCAGCGCACCCTTCCAGTCAAACAAAACCGTCTGCATTGCACTCTCACAGGAATTTCCTCTCCTAAACCCTGCTTGGAATTTAGTTAACACACTATTACTTTCCAAGTACTCCACTATTTGATCATTTACACATAATTCCAGCAGTTTTTCGTATGGTGGTACCATATTTATGGGTCGAAATTCCTCACACTTAACAGTTCCATGAACCATCTCAATTGGTACAACCAGACTTCTCTTCCATTTACTTGGGAATACGCCACTTTCTAGACTACCATTTATAATATGCAAAATTTTGTCGCCTATTACTTCAAAGAAATTCTTTAAAATTTGAACTGTAATACCATCAACATTACTTTCTTTGTTTTTCATTTCTTTCGTTTGTTTTTTTAAATCTTTCATTTCTAACATTTTGAATTTTTCCATTTTGCAGTCGACATTTATTGAACTACAAATTTCTTGGTGGGTTTTGTTTGAAGTAATGCTATCTGCTATGTCTTTTACACTGTCTAGAAAAAATATATTAAATCTTTCACTTATCTCTTTACCAGTAACCCCCCCACCATCAAATATTATTTCACTTTTAGCTTAAAGGTTTTTTTTGCCATTTACAAGCTCCTTTAATGTTTTCCACATTCTTGTTGGGTCGTTCTTACAATCATCTACACTTCATCTAATTTATATAACGATGCACGTCATCGGCGTCATAGCCTGTGACGTTACATGATACCAACACAAAATATTTAGGGTGTAGGTGTGTTCTTTTTTAGAATCGCTTTACCGAGTACACTGGCATTACAGCCACTAGACATATTTTATTATATACGCGTAGAAATAATATTTAAAAATGTCTATTAATGTTAACTTAAAGAAATACACAATAATATGTTTAATTTAATTTGTATAAATGCATTATAAAGCGTTTTTATCAAGAACATTTGTTCGGAACACACTGTAACTGTAATCGAACAAAGCTAAAATTTTGGCATAAATTGGTAACACTTATTTGACAGTTGCGGTGTTGACACTTTTTGTACTTCATTATTTTGAATTTTAAAGTGAATGTCTCTTGTTTTATATTTTTAACTATTTAATAAAATCTGTTCTATTTAGAACAAAATTAGTGTGTTTTATTTCAAAAATGTCACGTAAGAATTTAAATAGTCGTTGTAAAGAGATGGTAATACTTTTGCAATAATTATGTAATCTATTTGATTTAAAATGGAGTCAGGATTTTTTTATACTTTGGCAACTATGTCAACTTCGATCTCTGACGTAGATAATGACGTAAGTCGTTATCTAAATTAGATGAATTATATTTTTTCCTGATAATAATTTTGTTTGGTAATTCTGATTAATGCTACGACTCTATTTCTTTGTTGTTTGAAATCATCCCAGTCAGTATCAGTTTTAGTAATAATATAATATTATAATATACATTACGTAAATTAATAGTGATATTCAAGAAATAAGTAAAAAATTAACAACCAAAACCGCAATAAAATCCATTATTTAGCCACTAATGGATAGTGAGAAAAAGAAAATCAATACAACAAAAATTGTTTCCACGAATTTATCCAATAACTAACTCTTTCGTAGTAATATTACTCACCCAATCCTTAAAAATGAATCCAAGAATTCCAGCAGTCATTTCAAACAAAAGTAGAACTGACAGGAAAATTGCATACTGAAAATAAAATATGTTTACATCGATTATTTTTTATACTTGAATTTCTTACTGTGGCTAGCAAGCAAGTGTTCTCTCTTAGTGCCCCTACACAGCCAGTAAAGCCTATCACAAAAGTTACTGTTCCTGAAATAAAAAAAAATATTTATTTGAAATAGAACAATTACGATTTATGGTGTTGCATACCTATACATATTAATACAAAAGCGGGATCTAGAGCAACATTGGCAACTTTTCCTAAATTATTGAATATATCTTTTTCACTCCAAGCCCATACTCCAATGGTTAGGATTCCAAGACCAAGTAGCTAAAAAACAAATATGTAAATGCATTGTATTTTCTTGTTCTATATCTTAGATAGTTTTTTTGTTCTTTATTACCAGATACTGTTTTTTAATACAGAAAAGTTTCTCCCTCTTCCTCTAATGCCTTATCAATTCCTTATGTTCGCTATGAACATAAGAATTCTAGGATTTTCCGCATTTCATTGTGTTTCTTGCTTCGTTTTTCCAGTTGGTAATCTTAAGTGTTTTCAGATCTTGTTCCACTTGTTCCATGTATCTTAGTTTGGGTCTTCCCTTTGACCTTCTCCCTACGGGTGGTTCCTCATTAACATGGCTAAGCCAGCGCAGATGTCCGACATTTATGGATGTTATGACCCCGGGTTCATTGTATGCTGTGTATAGTTCAAAATTATATCTTCTGCACCATATGTCATTTTCTTTCACCTGCTTATATATGTGTATAAAGATTTTTCGTTTAAACATACCTAATAATTTCTACCATACACATAGAAACCATACACAAGGACCGGTTTTATCAGGGTTTTGTATATTTTGGATATGTGATGTTCTTAGATATTTAATTAGTCGATTATATCTTTTATTAGCGATATGTATTCTTCTCTTAACTTCTTCACTGACATTGTTATCTGCGGTAACTAGTGAACCTAGATATGTAAAATTTTTGACACTTTCGATGTTATATTCTCCTTTTGTCATATTCTGTAGGTTTCCGTGCCTTTCTATCGCATTAAATGCTTCTATCATCTCTCTTTCGCTTCTAGCTATGATATCAACATCATCTACAAATGCCAATATTTGTACACTTTTTGTTACTAGGTATTGTTCCTCTGGTGTTGATTTTTGACTCTCTAATTATTTTCCCTAATGTGATGTTGAAAGAATACAGGATATGGCATTTCCCTATCGTAGGCCCATTCTCACATAGACTGTATCTGTTAGTGCGTTTTTAATTTGAATTTTGCATTCAAATATACTTTGTACAAAGTGTTCCTTTTACTATATAAATGAGTTGAGATGGAATATTAAACTCTTACAGTGCATTGATAAGAAATTCTCGAAGGATGCTATCATAGGCACTCACAAAATCAATGAAAAGATTATGTGTGTCTATATTAAATTCACTAGTCTTTTTGAAGATTTGCCTCAAGACGAAGATCTGATATATTGTGGACTTATGCCTACAGAAACCACATTGATATCCCCCAACTATTTTTTCTGCATATGGTCTCAATCAGTCATACACAATATTTGACAGTATTTTATATGCCAGTTAGTAGCGTTATTGCCTGGTAGTTTTTACATTGAAGCTGATCTCCCTTTTTATGTAGTGGGATAATTACTCTGTGATTCCAGTCTTGTGGTAGTTGTTTTTATTCTATATATTCACTATTAATTCGTGTATCACATTCAATAGGGAGTCTCCACCTTCCTTTATTAATTCTGAGCTAATGTTGTCTAATCCAGGTGACTTTTTGTTTTTCACTCTGGTAACTGCTTCTTGCATTTCAGCTACTGAAGGGGGGTTGTTTCTCTGGTATCCGTTTAATCCAGTATAATTCCATCATATAGTAAATCTTCATTTTTTTCAAACTTTTCTTTGAAGAATTCTGTCCATCTTTGTAGTATTTCGCTCTGTTGAGTTACTACATCTCCTTCTTTGTCTCTGCACATCATTGTTCTTCTGTTTAAATTCTTTTCTAATTTTGTTAAGTTTTTGGTAGTCACTCTGTACTAGCTTTAAAATTGTTTTTCTCCATTTCAATAGCAAATTGTTTAGCTTTGCTTCTTATAAAGGGAACACTCACGGGAATCTTCTTATTCCTGGCTTGTTTGAACCATTTTAAAACATAACTGTCTAAAGGAGCAATTCCAAAGTCCCTGGCAATCTCAGATTTTTTTTTCATTCTCTTTTCTAGTTCTTAATTGCCGCTATTTTTTCCGATAACGTCAAAGTTTTGTATGTTCGAAGTTTGCCATACTACCTCTTTTTGCAGAAATTTCCAGATTGAAATTAGGATTTTGGCTTGTAGAAAAGTTCAAATTATCCAAAATATAATTTGAGTTATTCACTACTGTTTACCATTACTTATATAGGAAATGCTAGGGATTAGAATAAAAATTTGAATTAAAGAAGATTTCGAATTAGAAAAGTTCGAATGAAGCCAGTTTCACTGTATTACAGAACCTGATTCCACTTCACAGCTCTGAAGGAATGTATATGCCTAATCCAATTGCCTAATTTATCTTAGAATCTAGAATGCATAAGCTTAAATTTTAAATTTCTTGTTGAGGAGATAAAAAAGCTTTAAAAACAAAACTTGACTCTTTGTGAATCAGTTGATTTGATTAATCATGTTAAGGAGTCTTTTTGTATTGTTAAAGTAAATGTAGGCATATATGTAGGATATGTAGGACTGTCAAAGTCATGGATTCTTCTTTATTTCAATTGTTTGCATAAAACCATAAATAGCTTATGAATCTTATTGCTCTTTAAATTAACACCAACTCCACATGATGCCTACAGCTGTTAAAGCCCTCAACTTGTGTTAACAGAACTAGGAAGCACACTTCTAAAATTTTTTATAAGCCTGTCCTTCTGGATATTACAGGATCTTCAAATAATGAACAAATACAAGTAATAAGAAATAAGTGTTAAGTAGTAATTCTTTTAAAATGCAATTATCGAACCAAGTCACAGAGAATTCACAACAACCAGATGCAAGAAAGGAGATTGGATGACAGAAAAAATCTTGGAAATTATGGAGGACAGAAGAGAGAAGCTAAAGAGACTTTATATAGGCATATATAGATAGAACGTTTATTGACCACTTTACATAAAGTTTGATTATTATTATTATATTATTTAATAGGCAGAGAGAGGGAAATGGAAAATAAAATAAAAGAAAGGAAATTGCAATATCTCAGACATGTAATGAAAGGCTAAAAGATTCAACAACTTGAGACTCATAATTCAAGGAAAAATAGAGGGTGGGAGAGGCATAGGAAGAAGACACATTTTCTGGTTGAAGAATCTGAGAAAGTGATTTGGTTGCAGTTCAAAGCAATTGTTTAGAGCAGCTGCCTCGGTCAGAATAGCCATGATGATTGCCAGCCTTTGTCACAGAGATGGCACTTAAAGAAGAAGAAGTGTTAATGAATGGAAAAGTGTAGTACAAAACTGTTTAATAAATGCCTGAATGGTGAAGGTGCCACTCATTATTAGTGGAACATCATATATTTCTATAATTATACAAAAAAATGTGCAATAACTATGTCAAAAATTTTGTTATTACTATCATATTTGAATAAGTAATAAAGAATAAAATTGACCTAGGAATGGGGTGATTCTCAGTCAATAAGTCAATAAAACAACAATCCTAGATAAACATGACAGATACATACAGGCTACAGTACACACTGTCAGAGTAGTACCAAAGAATATAGATGCAAACAAATATATAAACATATAGTAATTGACTAAACAACATTTAAAGTATTTGATCTAAGTAGTATAACATATTATGACCTCTCCCTAGCTTTGATTTAGTTTTTAGTAGATAAAAAATTATAAATTACTTTAATTTTTAATTGCAAAATATTTTTTATATGCCCATTAATTTGATTTTCATATACAAAGTATTTTTAGTTAAAACATCTAAATATAATAAGTATATGGAAATCCCCAACAATCTTTAAAATTAAGAATAAAATCTATAATGTAACTGGTAGTTGGATAGATGTGTGGGTGAGAGGCTGAGACGGTTAAATATTCAGAACGTTAACATCCACATATTATTCAAAAAGAAAATACAACCTACTCAAAATTAAATATTCAGGTCATGAAAACTTACCCAAAACAGCACATTGAATCCAAATATCATATATTTCAGACAACTGCTTACTTCTGTAGTGTCTCTTCGGTATTTTCTTACAGTAGGCATGCTGGGTACATTCACAGTCATTCCGAAAACAATTTAGGACTTCTACCTATAAAACATACACTAACTTTTGAAACATATTATTTAAAGATTTCACACTTATCATTCGAAATAAATATTAACAAATACAACGAATTAAATACTGGAAGATGAGTGACATCATGTACGGGTCAAGGTAATGAGGAAATGAATTTTATGAAGTGAATAATTTTAAAATTATAGTCAACAATAGATATTTTTTGTTGACACTGAGTGACACGAGCTGAGGGCTGAACTAGTTTTGACAAATCGATGGGAAAATAAAACACCAGGCAATGCTGCCAATGCATTTCGTAAAGAGAAAGGAAAAAGGAAAATAAAGTTTATTTCAATTTATTGTTAAATAAAAACTTGTTCAAGGTTAATTAATGATTACCAATTAATATTTATTCGCTATTAGCACTTCATTTAAGGTATTTGTATAGTTTTAAATTATAAATTTATCCTATTGTTTAGGCCACACATTTTACAGTTTATGAAAAATCTGAAAAGATACTTAGTGGAAACTGGAAAATACGAAATTAACAACTAGTTTACTTAAAAACATGAAATGAATGAGTTTTGAATTTTTTTAACGTTTTTATGAATATAAAATCACAGTATAATTTGATTATCTAATACCTGGTAGCCCAATTAGAAAAGTCTACCTAAACAATTTTCATTAGAAGAAAGATTTGTGGGAAACCCCATGACAAAATATATTTGCTATTAAGGTGGTTAGTTTTTAACTTAAGGGGGATCGTTAAACGATTGGGAACTTAAAAAAAGGGAGGCAGATACCATATGCTTTTAAATATATTTCAATTCTTGTTTTAAGCATATTAGGTATAGTCCAGTTGTTAGAGAGTTGACCCCTAAAATTCATACGAGAAGCTGAATTTTGCCAAGAAAATTAATTTTGGGACCCTAAAAAATTCAAAAAAGTTTACCAGTTTTACCCCCGGGCTTCCCCTTAAAACATTTAAAACATTTTTTATTTAAAACATTTTTTTCTACGGCGTACAGATTCTTGGTAAATCGATTTT